ACACTGTCCTTTTGTGTTCAGTAAGAAATCACATAATCATCAGTTACACAAATCATCTTTTGAAGTCCATATGCCTCAATTTCTCTTTATTTATATTCTACAAATTGAAGAGATTAAGCTAGATGTTTGCTAAGATCCCCTTCCAAATGGTTTCCTTTGTTGAATAAGTTGAGACCTATTTAAAAGTTAGGCAACCTGTAAGGTGCTAGCAAAAAGTTTGATCCCAGGTTTAAGGTTTTTGTTTTGTTTTGTTTTGTTTTTTTAAACAGGGTCTCACTATGTTGCCCAGGCTGATTTCAAATTCCTGGGCCCAAGTGATCCTCCTGTCTTAGCCTCCTTAGTACACCATCATATCTGGCCCTAAAGATACTCAAAACATTGCTTTTGACCTCAAAAATATGCTAGATCTAAAAATTGGCCTCGGCATTCACCAGCTTTTTGAATAACTATCAACAACATTTCCAGGAAGGAAAAATCCCTTCAGTGAATGCTGCTATTTGTGCAAAAGTGAAATTATTTAAAAACATTAAGAGCCCGGTGAGAGTTAACTCCATAATAGGAATGGTAGCCTGCACCTCTCAGTCACATCTGGGGTTCAAGCTCACATGGAAAATTTCAGCCAGTGTTGTTCTAAGGAAAAGCAGAGACCGAAAACAAGTGTGCCAACTGGCACTGCCCGATCCCAGAGCATGGGTGCAGGAGCTGGGTGTCCCTCCTGCCAGGTCCCCACCCAGATGTTCCTTGAAGCACCCAGTGAGGGCTACACTTGGAAAAATGATGTGGCTGGCACATCCTCCACCACCCTGGCATGAGATTCAGGAAGATGCTAATCTGATCCATCCTGGAACATTTCCTCCCTTCGTAAAATTCTCTGTCCAAAGACAAAGCCAACAGTGATGCAGAATACAAGAAACCAGAACACCAGGCACGGTCAAGGGCACGGATAAGAGCACATGCGTCAGAGTGGGCCCTGCGAAAGGACAGCCCGTTACAGCCACCCTGCACCACACTGCCCAGCCAGGGGCAGAGCTCCCATGTCTCACGTCCTTCTCCTCCAGAGTCAGATAGCGAAGTCCCCTCCCAAGCCGGCACAGCTTTGGGGAAAGGGTTTAATGGGAAAGCACTTTAAAAACAGCAAAGCCAGGGATTTAGCTCAGTGGTTCCATCACCTGCCTCACAAGCACAAGGTCCCAAGTTCTAATCCCTGGCACCAAAAAAATAAAATTCAAAACAAAACAAAAACACAGAGCATAAAGGACTGGGAAAAGGAAGCAAGGAGACACACCTTTTGCAAACAAGAGACCAAGGGCCAGGAGTGGGGAGAGGGAAGGGAAGTAAGAAGACCTCAGATGTGTCACGTACACATAACAATACCCACAAGGAACATAAACACTGTATGCCCTAAATACGAATAAAAGTAATGACATTAATAATAATGAAAGTGAGAAAAGGGGATCTAGAGACAGAGGGAGAGAGACGGTGGGGAGGGGAAGGGGAATAAAAAAAAGAGTCAAGATGTATTCAGTACATAACCTACTCCCTAAGATGAATGCATGTACTAAACTTCATGTACTGCAAAATGTACTAATAAAATAAAGGGAGTCAAAGGAGTGCATGAGCAACTCAATCCCTGGAATGACAGCAGTCTCCCTGTCCTGCGGGACACCACTGAGCTCACCACAGCTTAAGCAAAACTCAGCGGGGCCCTGGCCTCCGTTCTCTCCTGTTCCCCTCCCCTCTTAGCCCCACCTGGCCTGACTTGGGCTTTGCTCCTGGGCTTCTTCCCTCCCGCTTCCATGACATCGGCCCTCTTTCCACTCCTGTGCCAGTGATCAGACATCTGATTCCAAAATGAAAGGGAAATACAGTGTGTAAGTGATTAAATGTTTTAAAATTTACTACAGTGTAAGACACATTGCCACTGATCTTCAAAATATTCCCCTTACTTTGAACAGACACAGCCCATTATTCTTGGCTCGTTCTGAAGCAGTTCTGGAAGTCCTCTTTCATGTCTTTAAGGGCGGTTATGAAAAAAAAAAAAAAAAAAAAAAAACAATAGGCAGGTTCCTAAAAACATGACGGTGTGTTTTTATTCACCTTACCTACCCAACCTGGCATTGTGGGACTTCTGGCTCTTCCCCAAAGTCAAAATGATCATGAAAAGGAAATGTTTTGGATCAATTCAGGACACGGAGGCAGCCAGGACAGCACAACTAAAGACACAAAAGAGGATTTCCAGAAGTGCTTCAAAAAGTGGCAAGAGTGATGGGCCAAGTGTGCCCAAACCAAGGGGAGGATTCTGAAGGAGATTCATGGCAAAGAGTCTTTTATATAATAAGTCCTTTTCAAATGAAATATTCATCATATTTTTCAATCATACCTCACACGTCAGAATATCATCTAGCCTCAAAAAGGAAACAGGCACACACTGTGACGATGTTAAACTAATGAAATACACCAAAGGTGACCAAGGTGTGACTCCACTACAAGGAGGGACTGTGTCAAATTCACAGACACAGGAAAGAGAAAGGTGGGGAGAAGGGAATGGGGAACTTTGTTTTTGTTTTTATGAGTCCTGTATGACCACATTCAGCATGGGAAGTCAGTGCGTGGACACAACACAACTTAACTCTTTTCGCTTCCCTTTCCCCTTCCCTCCATCTCTTCAGACCCTTCCACTTGCAAAAGATCTATCTCCCTGTTTCCAATCATCTATCCTGTATTTTGCTCTTTTCATTTATTTATACTTTGGGTTTCTCATATAAGAGAAACCATCCAATAGGCAATATTTAAGCTTATGTGTCTGACTCATTTCACTTAACATTAGGGTCTGAAGGTGCATCCATTACTTTCCTATTTTGGTTTGTTTGTTTCTTTGTTTTTTGAGATAAGAGTCTTGCTATATAGTTCAGGCTGGCCTTGAACTCACAGTGATCCTCCTGCCTCAGCCTCCTGAGTGCTGGGATTACAGGCATGCATCATCACACCCAGCACTGTGCTCACAGCAGTGACAGAATTAGTAAAATATAAACTCTGGTGACAGAGTTACAGGCACAAAAAGCACAACACCCAGTAGGTCAAGGGGCAGTGGTCAGACTAGCCTGAGCTCTCCTGTATCACAGTACCAAATTGCAGAAGATCCTGGAGAAGCAGCCGCCAAGTTCTAGAATGTAGTCTATGACTGTCATATTCCCCCCCGACGCCACAGTGTCACTCCAGTCCACAAGCAAGGAGCGGACTGTACAAGTCTTCACTTGCAAAGGTGAAGACTTTCAGAGAACAGGACTCTCATGGGGCATTACTGGGAGAAGAAACCAAAAACCCAGCCAGTTAAGACTGAACCAAAATAGGCTGGGCATGGAGGCACACGTCTGCAATCCCAACACTCAGGAGGCTGAGGCAGGAGGACTGCCAAGAGTTTGAGGCCAGGTTGGGCTACAGCATGAGTTCAAGACCAGTTTAAACTACATAGCCAGACCCTGTCTCAAAAAAATAAATAAATTGGGCCAGGGATTTAGCTCAGTGGTTCCGGCCCCTGCCTCGCAAGCTCAAGTGCCTGAGTTCGATCCCTGGTACCAAAATAAATAAACAAACAAACAAAATAAAAGATTCCAGTCAGGAAAGCCATACCTGATTGTGAGCATTAAATCAACAGAAATAAAGAACTGATCCAAACAATAATGGAAAATAAAGATACAGGACAGAATGGGGATCACAATATAAAACTAATAACTTACTAAAATCAGAGACTGGAGAAGCAGAGGGGCACAGGAGGAGTTCTCTGTCCCCTAGTGTGGGGCACCTTTCATGAACACTGTCAGCACTGAAATACTGTTTTTCAAAAACCACAATTCTAGCCCTGTAATGCTTTCAAAATTCTTGTCACTCCACCTTTTGTGAACCTTTTAGAAAAATAATCTTTTGCGCTAAAGAAACATTTATTTGAAGCTCAGCACTTTTTTTGTTTCACTTTAGTTTCCTTTTTTTTTGAAATCAAATCAATACTTTCATAGAAATAGCAGACAAGTTACAATGTAACTAGAAGTTACTGTGGGTGGCTAGGATTAGTGCCATGGGTATTTTCTTCTTTGTATTCTTTAATGTTGATTTGTTGATAATGACTATCTTTTTCCATCATTTTACTCAAATACAGAATGATTACTCCTAATTAAAAATAAATAGCAGCTAAGATCTTCACAGCAGAAGTGTTGGGTGGTGGATATGAGAATTTTCTTCATACTTTCTGTATTTTCTAGGAGATTTGATATTGCTAATGGACAGAAACTTAGGTTGAAAATATATGGTACCTAATAAAGTTTTAAGAGAAAAGCCAAACTAATAGATCTCTCTACATCTATGCTGCCACTAGATAAATACGGAGAAGAGTTACAGATGATTTTTTTTCCCATTTTTAACTTCCAAAAGGTGAACACATTATTTGTGTAGGAAAAGAGACAAACAGAGAAGGGGCATCCATGGATGTAGCCACTCCAGGCCCAGGCAGAGATGTGAAGGTCCGCCCAGCACCTGGCAGTGCCCTGGGGAGGGACAGAGCCTCAGCGGGGCAAAATTGACTCTGGGGTCCCCTGGCACCCAAAGTCTCATGATTCACCCTCCTGGCACAGACAGATGCAGCCCTCAGACTTCGCTGTCACATGGTGACAAGACGTGACCCCACGTGCAATCAGAAAGATCTCAGAGAGACAGCTCCGTCTGTCCTTAAGCAGCAGCCTGAACGTCAGTGCTCACAGGCTAGGCATGCCTAACGTTAGGTGCTTCCAAGGATTAAAGAGAAAGACATGAGCGGGGATACGGGGTAAGGAGGTGGCACAGAAGAAAGAGGAAGTAAGGAGGGCTGGGGACGGAGGCTCTGGGTTACCTTCCAGCATCCCCAGCATGCAGTACTCGACATGCTTGGATCCCAGGGCCTGGCCTTTACACCAAGTGCAACTCACCAGAGGTAACAGCCCAGCATGTGTCTGGTTCACTCAGTGACTCACCGCATGCGATGGGGGAGTAGACCTGGGACCCAGGGACCTGCAGCAGAATCCGAAATGGGGCAACCCGTGCACTGGAGTCCAGCACTGCATCCAGAGCGCCGACCAAGCGACCTTGGAGGAAGAGAAGAGAGCCACCGTGAGCCCAGGGATGAAGGCCTGGCTGTCACCCAGCCCAGCCAAGGCCCCATCACCCAGTAGGTGCTGGCTGCAGCTCTGAAACCCTGGCTCCAACCCTAGGCCATCATGTGACCTCAGACAGGCCACTTACTTTCCCTGTGCCCTGGTTTCCTCCTCTGTCCTATAAACCAACCATAGTATCCTCTTCTTCTGTGAGACCTGAACAGCATACAAATCCATCTTCAAGGTTCTCATCTGGCCTGGAAGAAGGATTTTCTAAGCGCTGCCCATTGTTATTTTATCATCACGAGTGTCGGCTTAGTTATGGAAAAACAACCCCTGCATCTCCAGAAAGAGACTGATAAAGAAGGAAACATGAAGTCCTTGCTGGCTCCCAAGTGTCCCTTGAAGGCGGGGGAGCGCCCTGTATCACACCATCAAACATGGCTGCTCATCCTGGGTCCTCTCCCTCCAGGAGCCCAGGTGGCCCTCACCCGACTCAGGCACACGCCTGGACAGGCCCTGCATGGGGCTGCAGCTGCCTGTAGTTTGTGTTTAACAAGCTCAAATGCAGACAAGAATCACAAGGGGGCTGCGGACCTGACACCCTGTCACCACAGACTCTGCAGCATGTTTAATACAAACAAGGACTTCATCCCCATGACCCCAGGGTGGCCAAAGTTAGAAAAATGACGCTGATGTTCTCCCACCACCCCACCCTTATGTCGCCAATGTCCCAACAGAGATGCTTGAAACTTAAGATGGCTCTAAGTCCTGCTAAACCCACCCACAGTGGAAATACTGTAAGTTGGATTGGCATTTGCGACCCCTGACCTACGCATACCCCAGCTGAGCAGCAAATCAGCTGTAGTGGCCACATGTATCCCCCTGTTGATAACAGGACTCACGGGGGACACCAGAATGCAGCTCACTGCCACTGCCCAATGTCACGAGAGATCAAAATGTATATTCAGGAAAAGATCCAAATTCAAAATCCCAAGTGCAGCTCCTCCTGAACACTTCTGCAACACCGCAAAAACCACAAACCCCTAAGTCCAATCTTCAGAGTCCAGAACTGTCTACATCGCCCTTTCACTACCCCGTCTCCAGCTCTGCCCTTGGCTGCCATGTCTCAGGTCCATGGAGCCTGGAGATATCTCCAGCCTTGAAGACCCTGATGCTTTTGAAGATCACAGGCCAGTTCTTCTGTAGCTTGTCCCATACTTGTGGTTTGTCTCGCACATCATCCTGGCCAGATTTAGGGTGTGAGACTGTTCTTGTCACCACTCCCCTCAGGTGGCACATGACTTGGATTTGTCCCATTTCTAGCAATGCTGCTTGATCACTTGATAAAATAGGAGTTGCCAAGTCCGAATTATAAAGGTATCCTTTTTCCCTTTTGTAATTAATAAATATGCTGTGGGGAAACTATAAATTTACCATCCCTTGAATATTTTATTTATTCGCTCATGTCTAATCACTATAGTTCCATGTTTCCTGCTTCTATTCAGTGGGTTGTAATTCATTACTGTCATTATTTGGATGCTCAGACTATCCCAGGTTTGGCAGGCGGGAATCCTGTCAGGCTGGATTCTGTGCCCTTCAGACATTATCCTCACTATTCTTCTTCTTCTTCTTCTTTTTTTTTTTTTTTTTTTTTTTTTTT